GTGTGTGTGTGTGTGTGTGTGTGTGTGTGTGTGTGTGTGTGTGTGTGTGTGTGTGTGTGTGTGTGGAATGGTTCGAGTTTCATACATCGCCAACACATCGTTTCATCTTCGTTTCGCGAGATCTTTCTGATTTCTGGTTTCTAAATTTGAACGAGAAAAAAAAATTTGAACAAAGTTTATTTTCGCCAACGATCGTAGGCTGATTTTCTGTATGCTTGAGCGTGTGGTTCTTTGCACTCAAGCAATATTTTTATCGCGATATTATGAAACGTTTAGAGTGTGAGTTACGCGGGATAGTAAATATTTTCACACTTCTGTGACTATTTGTAGGAACGCGAGAGAATCGCTCGTCGAACATCCAACATCGTCTTCTCGGAGATACGTATTTTTGTTTATAGGCGAATTCATCTGGCATGAAATTTTGAATTAATTTATTGTTAGTACAGATGAGCAAAGCCCAGTTACGTTCGACTGATTATTTCCTACATACAAACGATTAATAGAACTTGATGATGTGTAAATATTAGAGTATTCACATGAAAAATACATACTGTACACAGGTAATAATTACTTTGTTTCAAGTATTTCAAAAGTTCATATATAATCCTCTAATAAGTTTAATATTTCAATCAATATTATCAAATTAAAATAAATTTGATTTGCTTATTGTATACAGTATCACTTTTCAGATCAATTCTATGATATTTAAAAAAAAAAAGGAAATTTTTGTTTTGAGTATTAATGATTTTTTGTAAAATTTGTAATAATACTCTTTAAATTCCTTAGAATGGAATATCATTCTAAAGAGTTGAAAATTGAGTTTGGAGAAGAGTGGCTCAATTTTCAGTCTTTAAAAGTAAATCTCATTTTTCAGTATGATATTCAGTTTAAAAATTTTAAAAGTAAAAATTTTGTTTTTAAAAATTTTATGTATTAAGATTATTATGAAGAAAATATTTTTGTGTTAAGGATAACCGGTACTTAAAAAAGAAAATTAATTGAATAATTACTTTTCTTAGTAGTACAATATATTTCTGTGTAGAATGCGACCACACCTGCACTCTTGTCAAGAGGCCTATTCTTTTTAGCTGAATTTGCATTGTTCATCTTTTTTCTTTTTCTTTTCACGTTGGAGAGAAAAAAAGAAACGATTAACTGGACACGTATTATGGAATTGTTCCTTAGATTTCTATTGTGTTTTCTAGAGAGAATGGAATAATTCGGAATCCATTTTGAATTCGGTTCCATGATCTGTGCAAGAGATTCAATTAAAAAGAACAAATATTAGAAAGATAAGTATTCGCTTATCTATCTCGTGGGGCGCGGAATTTGCTTCCTCCCGTCTGTATTTTTCAATCATTATGGATCACCGCGAGCGACAAATGCGAAACGTTCTCGCCTCCGTGAGACAAATTTCGTAATGCCTTGTGTTTCGGTAAGGGCGTTAAATAACGTCGTGTAATCTCTGAGGACCGGGAACAACGACTTGATTGTTTCCCTGAGCACGTCGCACGACGCGCAAGATGCGCCGAATGGGCGCGACTCACGCGGTGTAAAATACATCTATTTTCCTTGTTTATAGAAACAACTCGATGGAACACGTAACGAGGAAGCGATCAGGGTGGTTCACTTAAAGTTCCCCGTACAATGTGCCATGGCTTCGTCTTTAGGGGGACCAGGAATGACGACGAGCGTCCCGCCGCCGCGAATAGTCAACCTGGAATTTCCCCCACCTCCACCTTATCCACCGCCTCACAATCAGGTAAATTTCGAAATGCGGATCATTAATTTCGCTAATGATGCACATTCGTGCGTTTCATTGCTCGCGGCAACAGTGAGTGGGGTAAGCGACTCTTACGAAAAGATACATTCTTATTTATTCACACGTATTTTTTTAAAGCATTGTAATATTCATAATGTTTGACGGTGGTTAGCGCTCAAAAGTCTGCTTTCATCGTGCACAGCGGCGCTTCATATTTTTCGCAGATATCGTGTAACGCATTAATGGAACCGGTATCGCCAGTGGTGTCACCCATCACAAGTTCACGCCAGCATCTTTTGGATTATTCGTATGCATACTACCAGTCTGATTCGGATCATTTCCATACGACATATCCGACAGAGGTGCTGTCGCAGCAGCAGCAGCAACAGCAGCAGCAGCAGCAGCAACAGCAGCAGCAACAGCAGCAGCAACAAGAACAACAGCAGCAACAAGAACAGCAGCTGCTGCTGCGACAACAACAACAGTTGCAGCAGATAAGGTCGGATCCTTTAAAAAGACACACTTACACAACTTGCTATGGCACGGAGGAAAACATTTATGAAGAGATATCGGAAATCAGGTGAGCGTCCATTAAATCATCTGCATGAACAAGAAGTTATCACCTCTGAGAAATGTTTAAACTTGCAAGTCGCCAAACACCGCACTCGCGATTTTCAGTGTTTATAGAAATTGAAAATTGACGAAGGAGAAATCTCAATTGATACTTTTATCAAAACTCTGTTAAAAATATTAACGTTTACGAATAGTCTTAAGACAAATTTTTCTGTGGGCATAAGCGAGTAATACGCGCGGCGCAAGTGAACAACAATTTACCAACTCGGCACGGTTCAATGTATCTTGCAGCGGATGCCGGAGATAACGATTGAGTTAGGAATAATAAGAAAACAAGTTGTGGATTATTCATCCAGCGTCCTCGACTGGCGCATAAGTCATTGAGACGAGATAAACCGCGCGCGCGTTCAAATTGAGAACGCTCGTTAAGTGCATAACTATATTATTTCATACATTGTCGAGAGACCACAGACAACTTGTAATCTATCTTTTCTTGCGAGCAGTAAAATCAGTGATATATATATATATATAGTTAGTAATTTTAGAATGATCATTATTTAGAACACGTAACGGCAGTATAATATAAATATCGCAGATACATAAGAAGGAAATTAAGCAGATATATTTTCAAACTATACCCAATAAATTTTTCAGCAAGCAATGCCATCGCGCGTTACACGGATCGCGAAGGTCGCTCGTGGCAGAAGAGGTGCGTCGCGTACAATCGCGACATCGTCGTGTACTCGGAGAACTCAATTTAAGCGTGGAGGCAATGTTAATGCCAACCACGATCGACAATAACGAGGAAGAAATGGCGCAGGAAGCTCATGGAACCTCTACCGAAGAGCTCTTACCTTCGGTTAGCCCCGCTGACGATCTCCTCTCTCGCGTTGGATGCGACATGGACAGCGGTTTCAGCGGGAGTTCTACCGCGAGTTACAGGTACTTTGATAAAATGTTCTGCCTTCATCTGCGCGCGAATAGGTCACAATATTATATTTTTGAACGATATTTTCAGTTCTGCAAGCAAATCTATCTTCCAGTCTTATTTGAATTCGATTCACAGATCGGGTTTGGGATCTTTAAGAAGGGGAATAGGGAGAACGAATGGTCCGGAACCAATGGGCGTTCTACGTAAGACGAAAGCCGCCATGATTTGGAAAAAAGGTTGGAAAGGCTGGAAAAAACTTCATTCCTTCGGGAGCAGCAACAGTAGCAGCAACAGTAGCAACAAGATCGTTGGTGAGTCTGATAAATCATTAATAATATTGATTTCATTCAACAAAAGATAAGATATAAAGAGATATATGGTAGCCAAAGTATTCAACGGTAACCCATCTTCGCTGTCGTCTTTATCACGTTCTCGTCGTTTCGTGAGTATGATAATCGTGCTCGGTAGCCGATTGCAGACTGCGTGCGGCTATGAATTACTTGCGCATGAGCAATCCGTTACAAATTCTCAATGCGTAGTTCGTTGCACGGCAAGAATACAAACACGACGTTTTCCTTGAAGCGCGTTTCTTAGAAGCAAGAAAGGAAAGGACGCGCAGCGATTTCTTTTTTCTCATTTTACATGTAGCCGCGTACACATTCCGAACGATAAATCGTTACAAATGAGAGAAAGGGCCAAAAAGAAAGTGGAAATGTTTAAATATGTATACCTATCGTAATAGCATTGTGCAAGACGTAAAATTTCAAGAATCATCCGTGACAGAATTGTTATGATCGGAGAGCGCGACTACGATTTACGAAAAAGAAAAAATTATTACGGAATTGCTCGGGAAGCGGATACTCGAGCATTGTTCCTGCGCTCGTTTTAAGATGTTTTGTCGCGTATAAGTACTGCGCAAGTACGCATAGCCTTTTTTTTTATAAGAATGCCTGCTCACGAGTATGAACACACGAGTACGCTCATATACTCGGCCCGTACGCTCGCGTGCATTTGGCGAATGGAGTTAATTATTGGTACTTGGAAGGGGTCAGCCGTGGGGTCACTCGGTGGAGAAGCAGATGCGAGATCACGTGAAACGCCCCTTCTCTTCTCTCCCTCCCACTCACCTCTCTCTCTCTCTCTCTCTCTCTCTCTCTCTCTCTCGCTCGCTCTCTCTCTCCTTTTCCTTCTGCTTACGTCGCATAACTCTCTTTCGGCTTTGCACGCTCACTTGGATTCGTTACATTTCTTTCCCCAGTTGTCGATCGCTCTACAGAATAGTTCTTGCGATTTAGAATAAATCAAGGAGATTAGCGTATCGTAATAAATTTGTGAAATAACATATTCCTATACAAGTAATTTATAAAATATATATATTTAACACAAATGTAAATGTTGAGGAGCATGAGGACCATATTCGATCAAGGCGGCCATTAGACGTTGCTCAAGATTCGAGTCTTCAGCTAGTGCTTAAGATGTCATGAACCAATCAGAGAACCGTATTAGCATCTTAAGATATTGCTTGAGATTGTCTTGAGATTTAGGAACGGACTATGAATTCCGATCTTAGTGCCTAATAATATTTTTTTGTGTGAATTTTTACACAATTTCCAGTTCAAGCAATTGTAAAAATTTATCCGTCTTGATCGAATATACAATATATAATTTTTTCATTCATTTGTATGAACATTCTCGATCCATTTTCATTTAATATTAAAATATATATGTACGGGTTTGTATGTTTAATTAATTATTTTCTCCGAATTATTTTCTGTGCGTAATACAAGAATCTGGAAGAAAATAGTCTTATTTATATGTTCAAGAAAACTTTAATTGTTTTCTTCTTACGTTCATCTCAATCTCTTTGCTCATTAATAATTACTCGTGTGGAATTTTTTTTATTGATATGAAGAGATGTAGAATACAAGGAAAGAAGAGAGGGAACACTATTACAGACTAAGCAGCTTCATCTATGAGCATCTTAAAATTGAGCTGACAATGTATGTATCTAAAACGTTAGTTTCTCGAGTCAAAACCAATGAATGCTTACATATGATGACTATAGGTATATATTTATGATAACTATAGGTATATACATATATTCTCAGCAGAAAAAGCAATTTTGCAGGTGTAAGAACCTTTAAGATATGACTTGTTTATGTATGTAGATCCAACGAGGAACTAAGGACAAGATCAATCATATTAAAAAATTACGTATTCTGATCGGAAGTTAATTGTACGGCTAGTGGCGCCGTCTAACGGTAAGGCAGTGACGAGATAATGTTAAATGCGTTCCGTACCGGTCGAGTTGCATTCGTATCTCATACATATACAACATATACATATACATATATTTATATTCGTAATGTGAGACCTCGACGGGGTCCAGTAGCGAGAAACTCGCTTCGATTCACACAATATAATTTCGCGTACCGCCCTCACGGTAATAGAACGAAAATTACTTTTATTACCCGGCTTCAATTACTCTCGTTAACACGTCACGCCGATTTGTAACAATCGCATTCACCTTACGCGGCATATATTTTCAAAGAGTCTCACAATGTATGCCACACACCGCCTAGCGATGGGGTCCTTCTTTGCCCAAAGCGAGATTATCTCGCGTCTTTCTCTAATGCTCTTGTACTATCTCGAGTCGTTCTCTATTACTCTTATTACGACTTAATAGTACAGCTGTCGCTACGTGTATACACACACGCACGCACACACAGATATATATATATATATCCTTCTCTCTTTATATCCCTTCTCGCGCGTTCTGCACCGCGCCTCTTCCTCTCTTTTATATTCATTCACCGTCTCTCGACCCGTCCATCCACCTCTGTTCTCTCCTCCTCTTTCGGCCTCCGTCGTCGTGGCCGCCGTACACAGCTGCGCTGCTGCGACTTGCGAGCTGTTTGTTGGTGCGTTTCACTCTCGATCGCTCGTACTTTCTCTCTCGTTTGTCGGCTGCAACACCCTCCTTCTGCCTTCGTCGTGTTGGCCGCTCGCGTTCCTTCCTCTTTCCCGCCCGGCCACCCGCTCGCGCTTTGGTCTCCGTTTCCTCCGTGCCGTGCCCTTCGCCTCTTTCTCCAACCTCCGGCGTCAGTGTTGTAGCGAGCGCGGAGGGCCGGAGCCAGAAACACGCGGCGCGGCCATGTTGACTCGCTCCGATCGCTCGCTCGTCTCGCCTCGCTTTGCTTCGCTTCGCTTCGCTTCTTCGTCGAGTGCGACGCGGCGCGAGCGCGACGCGGAGCCGAAGTCAGAGTCCTGTCCTCCTCCTCCTCCTCTTCCTTTTTATCGTTCGACGCCGCGGCGTTGTTGTTAATTGTGCGGGCCGCAACCGGCCGCGTGCGCACGTGTCCGATGTGATTTTTCGCCTTGTAAAATCGCGTAATAATCGCTACTCGCTCATCCGGGCCGTTTGTGCGTGCCTACGGTGCGTGCATACGTTTGCGCGGGCGCGCGTGCGTCTACCATGTTCATACACGCACTCTATGAATTCGCGTGTGGTAGCGCGATCGCATTCCGCGAACGCTTAGAACGATGATGGAGTGAGTGAGAGAGTACAGAGAAAGGGGTGTGTGTGTGTGTGCATGTGTATGTGTGTATGGTACGTGTACGTGTATGTGTATGTGTGTTACGCGAGTAAATCATCGTAAGGAACATTTGCCTCCGCGAGATGGAGGAACTGCACAACGGGGTTGTCCTCATCAAATGTAAGTAGACAAATTTTTCGAAAGAGCTACGCGTCGTCTTGCTTTTTCTCTCTCTCTCTCTCTCTCTTCATATCTGCTCCTAGTCTGGCCCATTTGCTTTCGCTACACTCTCAAATTGTCCCTCGCGTCGGATTCCGTCGATCATCGCGATCGAATGGGACGAAATCCGAAGCGGAAGCGGATGTGATTTCATTTCGAACGTAATCGTTTTATCATGAAGCACAGAGTTGTCACATTCCAAGAAATCTGGCGCGTCTACGTCTCGGGAATGTTGTTGGAGCGTCGATGGTTGACGCGATTACATTATGTCAGCGGTACCGGTACCAGTTTCCGGCTAACACGACGATATACTAATGTAACGACCGATGGTTACTCAGGAGCTACGATTTACGACGCGCAGACGACAGAGAAGATCATTTATATTCACTCCCCCTTCCCCCCCCCCTTCCCGTTTTCCTTAAAATCCCCAGTAAATTTAGAGGATTGTTGAAAGATACCATAATAGTAGCTTGCAGTTCTTGATTGAAATTCCATCTAAATTAGATTAAGAGGGTAGATTCTAGTTTATATAAAGCGCGAAAATGTGGCTTGTTTTTGAGAATTTATTTAAACAAAACAGCTATGTATTCTTCTTCATTTTTACACATCTTCCATATCTATAATAAATGTCCACAAATTTTAATATAGTTAAATATTTATTAGTTTTTTTGTTATGTAGATGTAAATTAAAAACAAAATATAAGAAAAAATGTTTCGGTGATTGACACGATTGTAAGCTTCCAACTTAACGAAATTAAAAATTCAATGGATTTTTAGTTATTACATATGTGGCTATAATTTAAATTAGAATAAATAAAAAGTGTTGCATATTGTTAAAGTGGCGCGGTTTTAAAAGACAAATACCGATTTTTTAACAAAATTTTTAAATTTAACATCTATGAAAAAATAATTTATTTATGGATATCGAAATAAACTATAGGATTATTGCAATGTCCATAAATTAACTTAAGAATTATATTTTATGTGTCAACGATTTGTAAAATATGATTTCGAGAATAACGCATTAATCTTAAAACAATTGCATTACTAAAAATGAAAATTATAAATTCTATGATACTAACTCTCCTCAAACTCGAAATGCTCATATTTTTCTACAGTCTACACTTGATAACAATTGCCTTTCAACACGTTGATAGAACATTTTAAAAGGTATTTACATTTTTGTTATTTTAACGATTATCGAAAATTTTTTAGATTCTTCAGGCCAGTATATTCATAGTTGGTCTTATTTTAAGACTGTCTTAAGTAATGTCTTAAGATATTATTAGGTGTTGGAATTAATTCGTAGCGTTTTTTAATGAAAGAATGTTATTTATTTCACATGAGCATTAAAAAATACATTAATGAAAGTACTTCCCATCACTTGTAAAACGCTACGAATTAATTCCAACACCTAATAATACGGCTCAGTGATTGACGGCCTCAATATTATACTTATAAAATGTAAAAAAAAAAGAAAAATTGATTTCTTTTTTAGTTTTAGACTAGAATATCCTCTTCAATTCTAAATTAGATATGATATTAGTTTCAAATTTCAAATCGCTTCAATCGCACATTCATAATATCTTCTTATTCAAATGTTTCGCTATTTAGCAAACTTAAATTTTGATTTTACAATCGTATTTCACGATTGTATGATCTTTTGATCTTGTTTGATCTTTCAGGAAAAAAAATGTATTGGGAAACATGCTATATTTTTTTGCCAGAATTACATAGAAAGAATGAATTCGCTAAAGTAGTTAAAAATTTAGCTATTATAGATACAAATTTGAAAATGACATTCTATTGAATCATTAAAATAATTATGTAGGATATTTAAGTGTAACGAGCAAAAAATTTTGACTTTCTGGGCGTCTTATATAATTTCGTGGTATAACAAAAAAAGATTATTTTCAGATCTGTATCTAGCTAAATTATTATATACTTTAGCGAAACCGTTCTTCCCGTGTGCATATAAAAATCTTTACGTCTGGTTGGACGTGAAGAATTCGAGGTGTAGTCTTGTGTACACAGAAGCAGGCATATTGTGTACTTTCAGAGTTGTCCGTCCAGCAAGCTTTGTATGTGTTACCATATATGTCGCAATAGAATTTTCATTGTAATCTCACACACACATACACACACACAAAATGATCAAATATTATGTAATTTGATTAAATAGGTTACAATCTCATAGTTAATTGTTGATTCAATAACTTTTACTTTAAATCGCATCTCACTATAGATACTATTAAAAATGTTATACTAGATAGAATTGATGTTTTATAAACATTTTACAAAAAATTTCAATAGCACCGATGTTAAGCGAATCATCACCATACCACTAAGAAGTGAGAGACCGGATGGATCAATCATATGGCAGATTAATTTATCAACGTCGCTCTAGCATTTACGTCTCGAGTATGATACTTCAATGATCGAGTTTACGTCAAATATATCGGCCTTGCATAGAGCGTTACGCTTTCGCACCGTAGTTAATTATACTTTCGGGCAGTTATATCGTCGCGCACTCCCTATCGTCGGAACAGCCATTGAAACGCCCGCATCGACGAAGATTGGGACGTTTGCGTCGGCGCATAGATGTGGACTGCCGTCCGGATTTATTTCATTTCGTCAATCCATCTTCTTGCTCGATTTTCGTCGATCCTCCGGATCAAAGATCAGATCATAATTGTTCGTTGGAGCGAACGATCGGTCGAATCTTTACGGCGGGAGGGGGGGGAGGGGAGGGGGTCACTCGGTACGCGCATAAGGTCATCATCGGAGGTCGGTTTCTTGCGTTAGTTTAGAATATGCAATCGGTTAATCATTAACGGGCGCTCTGACCCGTGAGTGGTATGGAAAATTGCTGCGTTGCTCGCGCATTGACTGTTGAACATTGCTGAGACTAACGCGAATATGATAAACGTCGAGAGCCAGTAAAGTCGAAAAAAAAAGAACGAGAAACACTTATTAAAATTGACATTTTTAGATTACTCCCTACTACTATCGATAAAAATGCATTTTTTTAAACAATAATTCTTCAGATCCGATAACACTTATTGAATTCCTGCTATATTTCTAATGCCTATTATATTTATAATGTGTCTTAAACTCTGTGCGTTTGATATTTCCAAGGAGATAAGGTATAAGCCGAAGAAAATGTCGAAGAAAATGTATCTGTAAATAGAAAATAATTTATAGTTTAATGACGAGTAAAGGTTTGGCCTCTGCATAAAGAGAAGATAATTTGTGGTCTAACGATTACGGCGGAATTATATATTTGCTGCTATGAGATATTTGCTGGTTCGTACAAGTACGTCCACGTTACGCAATACCGAATATCTAGTGCATCGAAGAAACCTTGCTGGTCGTGCGTAGGCGTTGCTCTTTATCGTAAAAGCGCCTATTGAAATGTCACGCGGATTTTTCGCTTGTTGCTAAAAGCGCGCGCAGTTACTCCACATTCATAGCCGCCGCGAACGAACTGGTTGAGATAGTGAAAGGAAATTGGGCGAGTACAAGATATACAAACGCGTCGAGATGCTTTGGATTATAATACAGGCCGATTTTGCGATCGCAGAAACTTCGTCCGACGTGAAAACGTTAAGCGACCTCCTCCTCTTCGTATTTCTCGTCTTCCTGCTGTTTTTAAGTTGTACGCTTTCGCGTACGTTTCGTGCGGCGCATGTTTGCTCATGCAAAGAAGAAACGAAAAGAGAAATGATAAGGATACGCGTTTTACGAGTAAACTGAGGACTCTTCGCTTCGCCGTTGTCAGGAACGAGATTACAGTGTTAACCTAAGAAGAGAGCCGTTGATCTCTTGTCGCCTGTCTGTGAACACCGAGCGACACCGTCGTCGTCAAGGCTCGATTGCCTTAAATATGTATAAGAGTTAAACAATTGTCTCTCGTTATGACATTTAGGTTTAATGCTCTCGCGGAAAGTGGAACGTTCTACGCTTCCCCGCTTCCCTCCGATTGTCTTTGAATAATGGACGAACATACTATTGGCTGCGTCTTGGTTATTCGTACCTTCCGACGGAATGAAATTCCGCGATCGCGATGTATTAGGTTGGAACAAAAGTTCATGGCGATATAAACTTCAAAATTCGTGCATCAGCTGTAACTTTATATTAAAAATGTATACGGAATTTTAATTTATACAAACGAAATTTTAAGTTTAAAATCTCTACTTTCGATAGGTCACTATGTATTTTAAATTTCTGTGAGTTTGATAATTTTATATACTAGAAAATTACGAGCTGGCCCTGGTGAAAATTTTTCTCATAATTTTTATACGAATTGGAACCTTTTTTCAGAAATATTTAGAAACATTTGGAAAGTTTACATCTTCTCTCAGAATTTTTCATACAACTGAATTTTGAAATATTCTGAAATTTCTCATCCCATAATTTTTAAATTTTTTATAACATTTCATCAAAAATTATACTTACAAAAAATCATAAAAATCTTACGATATTTCATATATTAACATATATGAAAAATTCTAAGAAAAGATGTAGATTTTCTGAGAAATGTTTCAATTCGTATAAAAAAAGAGAGAAAATTATAAAATTATAAAGAAATTCTGAAAAATTATATGAAAAATTCTGAGAAAAATTTTCACCAGGATCTAAAATGAAAATTGTCTGTTTCCAAAATGAAATCAGACGCGATACAAATGAAGCAGTGCTACGAACTTTTTGCTATAATCCAATAGTTCTATAATAGAAAAATTTTATAATAAAAACCTGATAAATTAATTAATTATTTCAAGAGGGTGCGCGCGCGATCTACGGAAAGCAGAAACGCGCAACAGTACTATTATGGATAAACACCGCACATCGCGGGTTCAAGTTAACCGGCTACGATGCGGAAATGAGCGGACGGGAGGGAGCGATTCGTCATTCGTCTCTCTCTCTCTCTCTCTCTCTCTCTCTCTAACCCGTGCGTGCGCGGGAGCACGCGCGGGCGCAAGCAGGTTGATAGATACGCGCGATAGAGGCTCTCGTTTATCCCGAGGAGCACCGAGCAGCATAATAGTATCAGCCGCGTGTGCACGTCCCTCGATCGCGCGGCGCGGCGTTGGCGCAGCGAGGAAGGAATACGCATAGACAACAAGGCAGCAATAAGGATGCGCGGCGCGCGCGCGATACTCGGTTAACTCGGTACTGCCGTGCGTGGTAGTTGTCGGTACCGATGTCGTGAATCACGGCAAGCTCGCAGCCTGCTGTCTTGGTGCGTGCCACCTTCGAGTCTTGGTGCGTGCGCGTCGCGCGGCGAGCACGCCGCTCGACGCGACGTTTACACATCGGAGCACGCAACGCGCAACGTTCTCGCGCGGTGCGTGGGTAGCTTAAGAGCGGAGTCGGACCGAATCGGATGGGACCCGATCTCGTCCCGTATTTTTTTTTCCCATGTGAAAGTATTGGGCAATTGATGCGTAGTAGGCGTATCGGTTTTCGTGCAGCCTGGTGGTGACACACGCCTAATCGCAATACGAGCGCAGCGCCGATTACGCGTGCCTTTGTATAATATAATTTTTCTATGTTATAAAATTCGTTCGTTTTTTTTTCATTCTTTCGCGCGCAGAGTTCGTTTCAGTGGAATAACGAGAGAAATTGACAATATCGATCACTCGCTGACTGTTATTTACCGTCATTCCAGTGCCCTCGATTTATAAAAAGACCTTGCGGCTTCGTAAACTGATTTGATTACGTGTTTTATGATTTTACATTTTTCTTTCCACGCTCTGTGGTATAGAATATATATATAATATATTTCCTGTGTATCGGCGTGAACGTGTGTTTGTGAGGCGCGATCGCTTTGTTTTCGCGAGACGTAGACTGAATAAGATTCACCGGGAGGGGTCCAGCTTGATCTCGGCGCTCGGACCTCGGAGTCTAACGCGCGCGTCGACGATTGCGTCGTAGATCGTTGCGGAGTTTAACGCGCATTTTGTTATCCGCATACGCGAGAAACGTGGGAACGGAACATCGAGCACGTCGCATTAACGCGATTATCGTCGCGACGTTAACGCGTTGGTAACGCGAGCGCGCGACACAGCGGAAGGTCCAATAAAACGGGGCGACGCATAGCGAGGTGATGGTGATGGTGATGTTGATGGTGATGGTGATGTTTCCACGCGAGGAAACGAGGGGCCCTGACTCGATCTCGCGCTCACTTGATCGCGCTTGAGGAACTCGTTACAGTCGCACTTGACGATTTTTTTTTTTTTTTCCTTTAACGGCCGTGGCCGGTCGTGTACGTCGCGATCGTATCTCCGAGGATGAAATACGGAAAGAATCGTCTGTTCTCTCAATGGTGACGCATAGCGGATATAACTGATCGCGATGACGCGCCAGGACTATTTACTTCCATCTATAGTCAGAGTTAGAAATTATTAAATCGGAATCATTAAAACTCTTCTCTTCTCCTCTGTCTTTTCTTTGTTTTAATTTATGAGAAGACGCGAGCGAAGTTGTCCTTTCCTATCAATCGTAAGTTTGTTGTTCATTTCCAGATGAGCCTCGTTCAAGGTGTAGATCGTGGGATGACGTAGGACCGGGCAAAATGGAAACAGTTAGCGGGAATTCACACACGCATCATTCCTCGTTAGAGACCAGCAGGTCCAACACGTCCACGCAGTCTGCCAGAAGCGAGGATTCCTGGTGCTCGGCGTCGGATCACGATCTCTCCTCCGATGACGAAAGCGAAAAGAGCAATATCAGTATTAAGTAAGTTCAATCTCGTTACATAACGCCGACGAAGCTAAAGTCCATAATGAAAACTTGCCGTTCGCTCCTTGCAGAAGCAACTGTCAATTGAGAAACACGTTGCATAAGGCGCGCACGCTTTGCGACAAGTGGCGGTTTCAGAATATGCCGGTGAACAATGTAGACCTTCTGGAATCTCCAGGGAACCACGGCCGCCTCGCAAGGTGGTTTAGCATCCGTCGGGGTTCCGTACACCATTATGAGGTCGATTCCTCGGACACAGTGTCTCTGACCAGTCCAGTCAAAACATCGCAAATGCCACAACTCTGTGAAGTGAGCATATCTTGATAACTTTTCAAACTCGACTAATTAATTTACGCATCGTTTACTCGAATAGTTTGCTTGAAAGGTTATTCATCGAATAATCATATTTTAGGTCGATGAAGAGAACAGTGCTATAGTACAATTTCAATGCATGCAACAGCGAAGACAAGCTCCGCCTACGCTTCCATCGCCACCTTCGAACTTGTCTCCTCAGCAACTGAAACGTAGACATATTGTGGCCGCGATAGTACACTCCGAAAATAGTTATGTATCTACTTTGCAAAGACTGGTAAACGTATGTATTGAAAAACAATCTGACGGTGTCAACGATGATAAACAGTGGTCATTTTTCTCAAATAAGTCACTTTAATTTTTAGGATTACAAAAAACCATTGGAGGAATCTTCGCCACCTATATTGAGTCAGTCTAAAATCGCGACGTTGTTTCATAGGCTGCCTGAAATTTTACAATGCCATACATTATTTAGAATTGCTTTAGCAGAATGTGTACGATCCTGGGACAAGGATGAAAAGTTAGGAGACGTATTTGTCGGGAGTTTTAGCAAGGCTATTGTTCTTGACATTTATAGTGGCTTTATAAATAATTTTTCTGTAGCGATGGATTTAGCTAAACAAGAATCGAAAAGAAAAACCGCACTCGCCGACTTTTTTAAGGTAGGTGATATCTCGAGATAACTTGTACCTTAATATGTTTGAGTTTTAATTTTGCAATCGTTTTTATAGGTGAAACAAATCAGTGCTCACGATAGATTATCTTTCTTTGGATTAATGGTCAAACCTGTACAGAGGTTTCCTCAATTTATATTGTTTTTACAAGTGCGTATATTAATAATGTATATTAATAATATATAGGATAATATTTAATTTCATTAAAATAATATATATTTTATATTTAGGATTTATTGAAGCATACACCACAAGGACACCATGACAGAATGTCGCTGCAATTAGCGTTAACACAGCTCGAGAGTTTGGCAGAAATGCTGAACGAAAGGAAACGAGAAGCGGAACAATTCCAAGCATTTAAGGAAATGTTGCGGCATGTTTCCGGAAAGTTATCACATCGTCCACTTTCTTCAACGTCTCGTTATCTTATTAGAGAGGACAATGTCACACAAATGGTAAAACTCAACAACTATAACTGTACCGTCGAAACACAACATGATGTATTTATAAACAAATAATTATTTATAGGAATTTAATCAAAATGGCATGATAACGAAATCTAAGAGAAGAAGGCTGTTGTTACTAAACGATTTAGTAGTGTGCGTTTCCGTAACTCCGAGATCCACGGAGGATTTTTCAGGAAACGAACGATTAACGTTAAAATGGACATATCCAGTGTCAGATATTGAGGTATATCGGATGAAAATAAAATATAGCATAACTTGTAGTATTATTCAATATTGAATTATTCATGAAAATAAATCGATCGAATGTTTTTTAAAGATACATTAATATCAATAAATCCATTTAGATTCAAGACACGAGCACTTCTCCGACTTTAAGTCGATTACTCACCGCTGGTTTGAATAAGGGCGGCAGTTTAAAATCTGACAAAAGCGGAGAGTGTGGACAAGCAGCCGATGCGGACAATCTCTGTGTAGAGATGAACGATCTTATGCATGATTACGAAGTGATGTCCAGAATAAGTGATTTAGTGGCCCAATTAAAAGGCAGATACGAGGTAAAGACAAATTGATAAGTTCGCTATTATATACTGTGTATATTGAAATAAATATATATAATTTATATATTTGTGTTTTTTTTAAATTTAAAAATTGTAATTGACTTGTGCAAATTAGTTAATGTTTTATTGTTCTCTGAATTCAAAAGGGGATGACGCTTCAGACTACCAAGCAAATTCTGCAATCGATACAAATGTCGATACAGCAGAAAGATGAGGATATGGTATGGGCTGATAGTTGTTGTCTCCAGCTAGTCACAAAACAAGGTCAAATGTACACGTTTCAAACAGAAAACCCATTAGTAAAAAAGGATTGGATAACGGAGCTTAGACTGGCGCAATTAGCTTTGGATCCTAATAACTCTCCCTCGTGGGAAGTACCTGAACAAGAGCAAAGGCCGTCCACGAAAATGCCACTTTTCGTTAGTTCACAAACCGTCTATCATTCGCAACATCAGACTGAAGTAAGTTGAGATAAAGAATATGTATGTATTATACATTACTATTTTATATCCTTATACATAACGCATTTACATGTTGCAATATATCTTGTTTACAGGTGCGTTGCGGTTGTTATTATTCTGTTGAAAATTCACGTCCCACGAGACGACGCGGTAGAAGTCAAAATTACTTATGGATATGTACAGGAGATGGCATATCTAGCCACGTAACGATTTTCGGTCAATCGACAACAGCTTCAGCGACTTGTTTGAAACGTATAACTACTTTTGATCTGGTTGAAACTAGAGTGAGCGCTATCGAGTTTGTAAAAGGAGTGTCCAGCGATTTTACCACGCTCGCCAGCGATCTTATATGGATGGGTACGGATTCTCGGAGGATTATAATTTATGCCGCGACGGAACCCGAGAAAGAAGAAGAGATTGGCAGTTATCCTGTTTCGGGGCCTGTAATAGAAATCAAGTATCATTGCGACAATGTTTTCGTAGCTTTAGGCATGGGCTTATTACTTTTGTTTAAACGACAAGCTGATGGCGCATGGAATTTGAAAGATCCTTTCAGCATATCATTGGGTAACGATCCTGTCTCGTGCTTAATGCCAATCAATACGTCAGTTTATGCCGCTTGTGGCAAGAAGGTGTGGGTACTTAACGCTACTTCGGGCGACGTCATCAAGAGTTTCAATGCGCAACATGAACATGTCGGGAATGTGAAACTCATGGCCCATTCTGGAGTTGGTCTTTGGGTCGCTCTGAAAAACTCTAGCACAGTTTGCCTTTATCATACGGAAACATTTAAACATCTGCAGGACATTAATATAGCGTCCAATGTGTTGAGAGTGACGAAAATGAATAATCCTGCAAACTCATGCGCTGGCACCCTCACTGTTAATAATCAAACTGCGGTCACGGTCACGGCACTTTTAGCATGCAAGGGTCTTTTATGGGTCGGTACTAATGTAGGCATTAGTCTGACTATTCCACTACCGCGATTGGAAGGCGTACCTATTATCAGTGGTCGTGTCAATATCTCGTATCACGCCCACTTCGGACCGATTACCTTTTTGCTGGCGATACAGAATACAAAGAATACAGTGTACTCTGCGAAGGAACGAGTTAATGTTGATGACGAAAGTGTACAATTGAGGGCGAAAGATGCCGAGCAGAGATCGCGTGACAGAACGAGTTTAGATTCTTCTATGTGTAGCAATATCGTGAAATTGAAACAACAGTTAACGGGAAGCCCGGTGATGTTGAGGAGAAAGCGAAGCAAGGAATATGACTGCAGAGGCTCGAAAACGCTTCCTAGAGGATTAGGCGCTGGCTGTGGATTTCTGTCGAGCTCCTTCTCCAGCTCGCAAAGTTCCGGTGAAAACTGTGACGTTTACGGACTGTATGGTGAATTGATGTACGTGAAAGATTACGAAAATGAAAACAATTCAGGTATAGATCCCATTTACGAGTCGTTGAGAAGAAGCGATCCAGAGCTGGCTGCCATACCAAATAAAGTGAGTACCTTGGATCGTAGATTAAAAATGAAAATCACTAGGCCTAGATCACTGGATCTTTCCAACTGGTCGGTGGACTCTCACACCAGCTCTTTGTACACATCTTCCGGATCGGAGGAGAACTTGTCTCTAAAAACTGGAAAATTATCGCGTAATAGTAGCATAGCTAGTCGTAACGGTCCCTACGACCTCTCTACACCTAACAATAGCGTAGTAGAATCGGGATTGGAAGCAACGTCCGCGACTAATCTCAAGGCGAATGGCAAGAAAAATGGCAAAGCGATTCAGCAAGTAGATCAACCCAAAAGAACGGTGCTAACACTGATGGGTGGACGCGGTTATATCAATTGGAGGCAACTCCACGCGCAATCCAGTGTTGACAAGAATTCAAAATCGACTTACGTGTTTAAAGATCCTAACAGCAACGACGCACATATCGTCTTATGGGAGATGAAATTATGATATACGATCGCGTTTTTAGGTCAGTCGTTATACATGGTGCGAGAAGCGAAACTTTGACGCTGATATGTATGTATAGTATAGTAGACAATAGGACCAAAAGAGTACTGATAATGCTTTAAATAAGATTGTTGACAATTGTAAAGGACTATCGAACACATGGTATAATCTCGATTGCGTACGAGTATCCGTGTCTTTTCGGATAGATGTTTCATTAGTATTGATTGTTCTATTTTAAAGCGATGTAAATCAAGCTGGTAGAATCAACAAATGATTCGAGAGTATTAGAATATTGAATGTCCCTCGATCAATTATCAAGATACTTAATAGGGACTGCAGGTTTTTTATGAACAATTTTTCTTTTAGAGAAGAATAACGCTTTGTTAACTAAATATACACTGAAATATATATGGATTGTTGCAGCGCATGACGAGATCAAATAAGTCAAATATCGGATACTCTCGTGCGTCAAAAGTGTTGCTTCTATTGCATATGAAAATAACTAATGTCTCAATAACAATATGTCACTTCTAGATTTAAAATTTTTGGAAATTTATGATCTGTATTTAAGATATTACTTGAATCTCGCGTTAGTGTATAATAAAACATGTGATAAGCCTGAAAAATCATGAGAAGGGGCACAAAAACGGAACTTAAATGGAGCTTAAACATAGTTCCACGTTGTGAAACGTTTTACATTTAATATCCGTGACATATGAGAATAATTGCTACAAAAATGTTCCGCTCTCTTATACTATAATAAATGTTCGCACTCAGTTAAAACTAACACATCGTTGTTCGCGCGCGTACGCGTTATAATTAAAATTTAGATGATTAGCCGAGTCTTTAAACAACGCGCTCATACGCGAAATATTCACCATATGTGCTGCAGAAACGCTGTATTTACATTAGATATTTTAATTTACATTGTTATAAACGATTACTGCGTTGTTTCATATTGATATGTATTATCTACGCAATAATTTCGATGAAAATCTATCGAGCGTTTTCTGAAAGTTATTCGAATTTTATACATTATGTCGATACGTGGTATTATTTTGTTTTTAAAATACGTATGTGTATTGACTTTTGTTTTAAACAGTAATCTTTCGGTTGCTTTTGCATCGAACAAGATTTAGAGACATCTAGATTTAAATATATCAAAGTTCATCACATTTAAAAAAACTGTAGCAGTACAATTTACGCCAAATTGTGCGGGCACAACTTTGTAGAAAATAATACCGTTTTGATATTCGACATAAAGTTTATAAAGTTTCATAGTGTGTGTAATATAAGACAAAATGATACATCTGTATCAAAATCAATTTTGCGAAATTATAAACTTTTATTCCGCTACAGGGAATCAATCATGTATTTTTTTTCTCTAGAGTGGAAATGTGAAGAATGAAATTTTTTTATACGTATGTGTGGTGTATATGTACATATATACATAAAAATTCACTTTTCCCGTTTTTGTCTTTAGTAAAAGTTACATGATCGATACTTTGAAGTTGAGGAAATTGAGGCATTTATTCAAAAAGTTCTTTCTTAAAAGAGTTACTTAGAAACTCAAATTTTGGTGAATTATCGACCAATATTTAACGAATAGAGCCTCAAAATTTTTGTCGTGTAACAATTTATTGATTTTTATGGAAATTATTGAGATTAAAACACTTACTGAATCAAGATTATGGTTTACATAGAGATATATTCTTTATAATGTATATGATAACATAATAATGTATTTCAGAAAATGATTATGGTAATTGATTATGGTCGAATGTTTATTAAAATTTTTCTGTTTGGGATATGAAAACTTGTCAGTCAATATGAATGTAATAAAATAAATGGAGGGTACCTATTTATAGATTATGAAACATTAATTATTAATTATTGATGGCTATTGTCTGTTTACTCTTGTGATGATTATTGAGAAATTTATAGCTTCAGTTGTTCAATGAAAAAAAAATATATATATATGGCCGGTATTCATAGTCGATTTTTATATTTGAGACTATCTTAAAATGTCATAAGCCAATCAGGACTGCATTAGCATCTCAAGACATTACTTAAGATGGTCTTAAAATAAGAACAAACTCTGTATACCGCCCTACATCCACTTTTTCGTAAAATGTTAATGCTGTCCAGTTTTTGTATGGTCGAGTCTTCAATGAAGAAATGCCGATCTGTGTACATATCTCTCGTATAAAATATGATAATAATGTATGTGTTACGAAACCCCGTTGAATAGATTTATATTTTGTACACTAATTTTGTTTGAATACATAGCCTTATTTTGTATTTATGCCTTTAGTACGCGCGTTAGTTACACAACGAAACTTTACTATGTATTTATTACTTATATATGATGTCACCGTTATAAATAGAGAATCTTGTTACTTTGCTGCGCCGAAAGAGTGCAGCGGTATAGTATACTTTTTGTTCATTGTAACATTTATGGCTACATTAAAGTTATTTCAAATGAAACAAAAATCTTATTTTTCATATATCATGTATAATATGCATACAGAGTTTTACTTGAAAAAAATTTTAGGATTGTTTGCAAAGTGATCAAAGTGGTATATGCGATCAGGCGATAGAAGTAATAATTATTACGGATTGATATAAAATGCAATCGATTATATTATAATTTCTAACATTATTTGTACAATATTTAATATAACGTGTTTAAATATCAACTATCCTTCAACACCTCCTTCAAAATGGATCCTGTATTTCTGGCTGGAATAAAGTCTGGGAATGTTGGAAGAGCAACGTTGGACAATAGTAATGTAGATTGCGCCGATGATGATGATGACTGTTGTTTATTATATCCTGGTCGCGATGAAGGCTACAATTATAGCGCATAATGAGAGCTTTTAATAGAGAATTATTGCATTATGCAGAGTTATTGATATTACTTACTGAATTTACAATAGGCAAAGCTGGTAACTGAGGCTTTGGCTTAGATTCACTTTCTAGAAACCTCACGAAGGCCGTTGATAAGGATGCTTCTTGATCCTATAAGATGTGCAATGTTAGATATTAATGATGTGATTGTAAGCAGAATTATCGAATTTTGAATACAAGCAGAATTATGATATCGATCGGCTAATAAAATTAATTTAATTAATAAACAAGTCTATGTACTTTTAAAGATGCGCCGTTATTTTTGTTGGCTTGACGGCTACTTTGTGCTGTCACGTTATTCAAGCCAGTCTTATCTTTCTCCGGTTCAGTGAAGTCCAAGACGTTGGCAAAAACTCTGAGAATTGAAGACTTGTCTGACGTGGTCGAAGCCAAATAGCCCAAAAGAAGATTTTTTATGAGAACTCTGTAAATATTTCAAAAGATTCATACCGCATTCATTTCATTAAAGATGGAATATATTTGGAACATACTCACTTGTCAACTTTTCCCTCATCACGTTCCGTTGCCTCTTTCACCTTTTGGTCAGCAAAATTTAAAGATGCTGTCAATCGTATCACTGGAAATGAATATTACACATATTATCCATCATTATTAACATAATTAATAAAGAAAATAAATGTAATTGAGCTCTTAAAAAAAAAAAATTAAATTTTGTTAAAAAAGAAAGTAAAAAGATAGAGAAGATTCAGTAAATGCATTCATCCGCAGAAAACTGCCAAATCTTTGTGGAATGTGGTTGATGCTTATTTATATAGTAATTGCGGAATATTTCGGACTTTTTTTTATGTACACCATGCGCGGTATCCATCGTTGTAAAGTTGGCAAATTGGTAGCTCGGAAAGACACGAGCGTAAGTATAACACAAGTACTGGTTGCTTCGATATCACACCAGTACCTGATGCAATACTCTCGCCTGCGCCTTTAGTTGCTCATGCTGCATTCTTCGTTTATCATGCCGTTCTACGAAACTAAGGTTGCGCGCATGCCACTAGAATTAAAGAAGCGTTTTAGTAAAACGATCCGTACTCCAGAGTCACGTACCAGAGCACGTTCGAACGGAATTTCCGAGAGATAGAAGTAGAAAAAGAGAATAAGAGAGCGACTTACATATATAACGCTTTATCTTTTGCCACTCCTCAAAATTTACGGATTGTTAAAAAAATAAAAAAAAAAGAAAGAAAGAAAGGAACAATTGTGACATGCTATGAAATTTTTAAGACCAAAAAAGGGACTGATTTTTTTTTAACTATCAAAATAATCTTTGACCGAACTAAATTCATAATTTTGACGAATCTTGGTAACGAGTGGGAAACCCCACGAGGTAATATGAGCTTTTCGTATTTACACGCTCACAGTTACCGCATGAGATTACCCACGGCTATCGCTACCAAATCATGATTACGTGTTCATTATTTATTTGCATTCAACATTTTAATTTCATTTCTATTTAATATTCTACATTTATATCTAATATTTATTACTTGTATACATATTACAGTATACACCATTATGGAGTACCTCAGTTTATTTATCACACTGTGATGTAATCTTGCGTAAAATTAAACAAAGCGTAATACGCATTCTCCTACAATAAGTCATTATTTAAATTTTAATAAGAAAGTGACCAATCGAATGTGAGATGAATAGTCGACTATGATTACTTAATTTCTTGTAGCTCAAGTAACGGCTTATTGTATTATACAAAGTCCATAAGATTTTATTATTGAATTATATCTCATTTAAGCGTTTCTTCAATTGTTTATATAGAAATTAATTACAACTCTGACATGATTTATTTATTTAAGAAATATTAATACTGAGCGAGGAATTTGTAGATAAAAGCAGTGGCAATTATTTCAGGATCGTATCGTTACAATACCTATATAATTATGATAATTATATCGTTATAATTAATACCTATTGTTATAATTAGTACATAATTAAGATCACTTCGCGCAATCTGACGTCTTGATTCGATGTTTAAAGTTTAAATATATATCGTTAATACATTTGGATTACGCATATGTAGAGGAGATTTGAAAAATTACAAAATATTTCGTGTCTTTTATACTACACATTGCTATTTTACATGCTTTCGACATAACAAATTATATTATTACGTAGAATAATTGCATAGTCTCAAATATTATAAAACGAAAACAAGACAATATCTTTACTAAATGTACGTACATAATAAAAAGGATACACAAATTTGTTGTATTACATAGAAATAGATTGCTAATAGAGGAAATATCTCTATGATATACATACAGCCATTCAATCATACTGTTAATTAGTCATCGTACTAAGTAATTAGTTGCGATATAACAATAATGAAATAATGATTCAATCGAACAAAAATAGGCGATGAGGATACTAGCTGAGCTTATCGTCATATATAAAAGAAAGTGCAACATTAATTATCCTTTTCTTTAAATTTCCGAACGTTAGAGTCATCGATAGGGGTGGGAGAAACAAGAATTCGTATGTGGTAAAGTGCAGAAACGTAGTACCAGCACCAACGGTAATTGCATGAACCAACCAATACGTGATTTGTGAGTATGCAAAGGCGATGATCCAGTTCGTAGCCAGATACCAGCAAGAATCCTGGGCTACTGTCATAAATCCCAGAATTACCAGCTGATATTTGACTACATTACCGGATTGTGTATGTGTTTGCTTTCGCAGATTAGTCACAGAACGCGAACATACTGATAATTCTACACTGTAGTTGGTTTGTATTCTCGACAATGCACGCTTTATCGTATCTTCTCTTCAACCGTATCCTCTTCTCAATCGTGTACATTACATAATAATATATGAATAATGTCCCTTCCGCTGTTACCTCATCATTTCTAAATCCTAAATGTTCTTATATGTTCTTTATGTTATTTACAAAAAAGCCATATATGAGATTGACGTATTCCATTCAGAGATTCGTAGAATAAAAATTTAGTAATGCTTTCAACGGTGCACGTCTGAATATTTTGCCGATCGCGGTAACTGCTAAGTAACTTCAATATTGCTATCATTGGGGAGAGGAAGAAAAACATGAAAAAATGTTTACATATCTATAATTTTGATAGATCTATTTATCACATCTACGATCTGTAAGACTCATAGCACAATTTGGCAAAAAAATTTGACTGTAACAAATATTTTATATATATTTGCGTAGAATAGGCAATTTTCATTGTCATCAAGTTATTGCACTCTCCGCTGACAACATGAAACTGAAATGACGTAGGATTATTGATAGTATCGAATTGCTCTGATTTTATTCTTTTTCTTTCCTTTTTTGTTTTCATAGTATTATTATCTTTCATGTATAAAATTTATACTTAACGCACTATTAAATTAGTGCCGAAGCGCGCAGCTCGATTTTTGTCAGAATGGGTTAAAACAAAAGCAGAAATATGTGTAAAAAAAATACGTGACCAGCCTTCTA